CCAGCAGTGCACAGTGGGAGATGTAGTTCAGTCAGCAGAGCCCGGCCCCAGAGGGAAAGGGGGACCCACAGCAGCGGGAGGATGACACCCAGGGCTGATGGCAGGCAAGCCCCTTCAAAACACAGACCTTTCTGACTCCACGAAGCTGAATTTTGCCTGCAAACTTTTAGAAGGGGGGTGGGGAGGAAATCACTGTTGAAAACCCCATTTTCTGCCCCAAGACGGTTTGGATGAAGCAGCCGAGAGCTGGGGGTGACTGCGGAGAAGCCTGGCACTGGTTATTGCAGAGAGAAAACCGCTCGGGATCACGGAGAGGAGAAAAAAACCAGTTACACCTCCCCCGCGAGCAGAAATGATGCTGTCGCCTCAAGCAACCGGCCCTGGCTCTCCATTTGGGAAGCCAAGCTGGCCCCCAGCGGTGCCCACGGGTCCCAGAGCTGCACAGCCTCTGGCATGAAGGGGCAGGCCCCGTGGGGGAAAGGGGAGAGACATTGAAAGCCGGGCACACCAGACAGGATTCACCTAAACAGCTGTGCCACATCTGGGTCCCTCCTACCGCTCCCCCGGCACTTGCCCTGCATAGGGAAGAAACAAAACACAATCAATCAGTGCCCCGCCCTCCCCGCTAGCGAAGGCCTCAAAACCTTGGTTTTAAAAACACCTGATGGGGCCCAGATCTCCGCCTGGCCAAGCAGCAAACCACCGCTCATCAGCGCTCTAACCACTGGGCCAGCTGTCCCATCCTGGCTCTTACCTTTGTAAAGAAATACACCCCCCTCCTCACCCCCCGAACAAATCAAGAATAAAAAGCAGGGTTACAAAATAAGTACAACTTTATCAGAGAGGGTTTTGGGGGGTTTCCACGGGGAGGTCTCGTATTTGGTTTGGGGGCAGGTTCTTTCACACGGTCAGACAGCGAGAGGCGGGGCGCAGCGAGACAAAGAGCCAGCGAACACGGGCTGCCGGGTTTGGTTTTTGGTTTTTTTTTTTTGTAAAATTTTTTTTTCCGTTTTGTTTTTTAATAACGTATTCATGGTTACCAGCCATAGTCATAACAAAAGTTATTCATAATAAAATGTATCTAAAATAACATTTCTATCTGAAACAGGAACCTTGTCGCTCTACTGTAGAAATAGGTCAGGGGGGTTGTTTTTTGTACACACTACTATGCGGTATATACTTTGGAAAGGCCTTTAACATTTAAACAGGTCTGGGGGGTGGGGTGGGAATTTCTTTTGTACCAATGGGAGGGGCTCAGCCTGTGGGGGTCATCTACTTTGGGGGCATGCGTCTCCCCCCACGCAGCAGAGAGATCTGGGGAGACAAGGGACTTTTGTCCCAGGGCGTCTTTCTGGGAAAAGACAAAATTGTACCTAGGTCTGGGCAGGACCCTGTTCCCCTCTCCCCCCCCCAAAAATAAATCCATGGGGCTCTTGCAAAGTCCAGTCCTCCCCTGCCCCCCTCAAATCCCTAGTGTGACCCTCACCCCAGATTCCCCCTCCGCTGCCCCTGAACGCCTGAAGATACAAGTCTCGGGGCGACCCTGGTTCTCCGCCTGGCGCAGTCCTTTGCGCCAGTGCCACTCCCCCATTGAAACGGCGTCATTTGCACCTCCCGTTGCCCAGTTATCAGTGACGGCGCAAGGTGGTGGAGAGATGGGGGCCCCTTTCCCGCAGCTGGGCCCGCACCCTTCGGAGCCTCGTGGGAACGGAGCTCGGGGGAGGGAAAATTTGGAAGCTTTTAAATCTATTTGCTTTTTTAAAAAAAATGAGTCACAAATCAGAAGGAAAAAAAATAGGTTAATCCAATCAAAATGGGGGTTGGGCTGGGTAAAAGCCACACCCCTTGCCTGCAGGCTCCTCCCACCCCCCAGCCCATGTAGTGTTTTCTGTTTTACAAACATGCACACGCACACACAAAGCTTGGGGCTTAGGGGAGGGCTCGCTCCTGCCTGAGCGCCCCCCCCCCCACCCAGATCACAGGACTCAATCCTCATCTCCCCTCACACCCCCATCAAGGCATGTAAGGAACAGCTCTGTCCCCGCCACCCCCAAACCTGGGGGGGGGGGTGTGTGTCTTCCAGACCATCCCAAAGGGGCTTGGAAACAACCCCCCGCGTCACAGCCCTTTCTCAGTTCATTAGCAGCGTGAGAGCCCTGCACTGCGGCCCCTGGCCAGGAAGGGGCGCTCTAACCCGGCTGTCTGAGCGTGGCCTGACGGCGCTGCCAATGCAGACGAGCTCCGGGCAGGGAGAGGCGACCCACAGGCAGAGCCGCCAATTCATCCGGGCGGGTCTGCCCTGTGTGGGCGGAGCCTTCCCAGTCTCTGCCGGGGGCACACACGGGGGGGAAGGGGGGGACAAACCCGTCAACCGAGCTGACTCTCGAGGGCCCCAGATGCAGCCAAACCAACACCCAGCAACCTTCTAATGCTCCAATCACGTATGCTTTATAATCCCCTCCGGGGGGGGATGCACCCCAGGAGAAGACGCCCAAAGGGTTAAATACCCTCCAATGCGCCAACCCCTCCCCCCCCCGGGTATCCCCATCACCCCCCACCCCCACTCTTCAGCCCGGCCCAACACCCCTTCTCTGAGGCGTGGCTTCTTTCCCTGAATCCACCACTTGCCCTAGGGGGGAGGGCACGGACCCCCTCAAAGGCCACGCCCCCAGCCACCCTCTTGTGGGGGAGGGCGTGGCCCTCCTTCAAAGGCCACGCCCCCAAGTAGTCACGGGGGTGGGGTGGGGAGTTACAGGCACTTAACAGTTCCAGAAGAGTTCTCGGCCCCCATCTGTGGAGGTGTTTCCCCCCATCGCAGGGATCAGGTGCGAAAAGCAGGTGGGGGGGCTAACCCAGAAGAAACCAGCTCGCCAGGTTAGCCCCCCGGTGCCTTTCGTGGCAACCGGCATCGGCCAAGAGCGGCCGTACTGCCCCGGGGAGGGGTGGGGTGGGAAGGAAAGTGAATCAGAGATGCGCTTTATCTCCCCTTCTCCACTCCTCCCTCTCAGGAGCTCTCTTTTTCCCCATGCTGAGAAAGGATGGGCCGGGGGGGAGAGGGGAAAGAGGGGGGCGGGAGGAGACACACACACACATGCGTGACCCAAGATCCTGCTGCTTCTGGCTTCGTTACCCTGGGAGTTACAGGATGCAACTCAGTATTAAACCATAGTTAAAGTAATAATAAAGTAGAAAAATATTAGAACGTATAAGATGGTAAGATTGTAGTGAGAGCTTCTTCCAACCCCCCCACCGTGGCGGAGTTGATGGTAAACGCTGGGGGAGGGTGGGAGGAGGGGTGTGGGGTGGAAGATTCAACCACCCCTTTAAGCACCCCCCAAAAAAATAAAGAGAACCCCCTAAAGCGTCTCAGGAACCACGGATCCCCGAGGCTGGTCAGATGGTGGAGGTCTTGTCGGTGCCATCTGTTAGGAGAGAAAACAGGACCAGAGAGCGTTCAGTGTTGAGGCAGAAGGGGACGAGTCGTCATCCCGTGGCCAGGTTCGGGCCAAGGGCGTTCATAAGGGCCAGTGATTCTGCATGCCTGGCGGCGGCTCCAGTCACAAGAAAGAAGCCAGGAATTCACCGGGCCCCCGCAAATCCCAAGAGTAGCGGGAGGTCTCGGCCCAGGGTTTTGCTGCCAACTACGCCCAGCTGCGTGCTGGGTTCCGCCACAGGTGCCCCACTGCAGACAAGGTCACCGATAGATACGTGCGCCCCATGCGTCTGGTTGCGATCTAGGGCTGTGAGAGAGTCGCCCACGCTGGGGTGGGGTGAAGGGGAGGGTTTGGGCCCCATCTTGGTCTCCCGGGGACCTGCTGGCTTGTATCGCCCTTTAACACCCTCCCCTCCCGGGGCTGACCCCACATCTCACCGCCCAGCGCGTGCTCCGTCATGCTCAGGCACAGCGACTCCAGCGTGGGGTTGATCTCCAGGTCTGTTCCGGGGATCTGGCAATCTACGGGGGGGGCGGAGGAAGGGGATTAGCCAGGTGCCCCCACACTTCCTGGTGGGCAATGGAAACTGGATTCACACAGCATTCATGTGACTGCCCCGGCCCACCCGGCAAGGTGGCAGCTTTGAGCCTCATCCCCTTATTAACCCTGGTGCTGCCAACTTCTCCACTGAAAAACGGTCAGTGATGGAGAATCCAATGACTGGGCCGGGAATTGAACCCAGAAGTCCCGTCTCCCAGCCCCCACTGTACTAACCCACTAGACCCCACTCCCCTCCCCTCCCAGAACCAGGGATAGAACCCAGGAGTCCTGACTTGCAGCAGATGGACACTGCTTGTCAACACGTGCAGCCTGCTCCGGGGAGGAGCACGACAGGCTCCCCCCCACAGCCCAAACAGCCGGAGAGGAGGAGGAGGAGAGCGAGTTGGCAGCAGACGGCCTCCCACCGGCCTCAGCTGGGCAGAACAGTCTCTCCAAGAACAACTCCTGTCCTGAGTCTGCCAAGGGCCGGTACCGGGAGAGCCCCCCGGCTACTCACCCTGGGGGAACATGATGATGGCCTGCGGGGACGTGTGGACGGGTAGCGAATGGGTGCGCTGGACCGAGCTGCGGCTCTGGCCGGGCATGCTGTTGCTGCCCCCGGGATTGGCGAACCACAGATTCTGCGGAGAGAGGGGAAAGACCGGGATAGAGGATGCAGGAGCCTGGCCCAGAGCAGCTGGATCCCCCAGGCTCACCAGCGCCAGCCTGGCACACGGGGGATCCAGAGACAACGTTCAATAGCAGCAACGGGTCGGCGTGGCTCCGAGTCACGCTCCACGGGGGAGGGATAGCTCAGTGGTTTGAGCATTGGCCTGCTAAACCCAGGGTTGTGAGTTCAATCCTTGAGGGGGCCACTTAGGGATCTGGGGCAAAATCAGTACTTGGTCCTGCTAGTGAAGGCAGGGGGCTGGACTTGATGACCTTTCAAGGTCCCTTCCAGTTCTAGGAGATAGGATATCTCCCCTCGAAGGAACAGCTAACGCTGCGCTGGGAGAGGGGGCCGGGCTCCCGTGCCCGAGCAAGTCACAAGGCCCTGGCGCCCCCCCAGGGCCGGGGAGATAACACTGCGAGGGGAGAGCCCAGCTCGATTCTGCAATCCCAGCTTTCCGACCTCACAGAGCCGCTCTCAACCCTCCCTCTCCCAAACGGAGAACCCCACCAGGCCATTTGGAGAGCAGAAATTCATTTAAAAAAAGAGGGGGTGCCATCAATTTATCCTGCTCTAGCCACTAGATCCCACTCCTTTCCTACGGCCAGGAATGGGGCTCAGAAGTCCTCCCTCCCCCAGGCTCACCCTGCTCTAACCACTAGCACTGGGGATAGAACCCAGGAGTCCTAGCTCCCAGTTCCATTTAAGATACCTATCTGGTCACCGTAACACACAAGCGCCTCACAATCTTTAATGTATTTGTCCTCACATGCCCCCTGGCAGGCAGGGCAGATCTATTAACCCCATAGTAACATGGAGAAACTGAGGCACGGAGAGACTATGATGGAGAATCTAATGGCTGGTCTGGGACTAGAACCCAGAAGTCCTGACTCCCAGCCCCGCCTGCTCTAACCACTAGAGCTAACTCCCCTCCCAGAGCTGGGGATTGAACCTAGGAGTCCTGGCTCCCAGCCCTCCCCAGTGGACCCCTCTCCCCTCCCAGCCCTGTGTTCATGGCCCTAGACATTTCTCTCTACAACCTGCTGACCTAGACAAACGAGCCCTTCTAGACTGGCACCCGCTGCTCCCGTTCATTGTAAAATCCCCTTCGGCTCAGCTGGGGCTTCAGCCAGAGCCACGAGGGAGAAACCGGCGCACACCCGCGGCTCGAGCAACACCTCCCGCCCCGCGGGACTCACCTGTCGTCCCTGGCTCCCGATGGGGCTGGTAAGTGCATGCCGGGGCAAGACCCCTCCAATCCCCGCCGGACTCAGCAGCCCCAAGCGGCTCGGGGGCATGGCTCGAGGGGGCATCTGGAACGGCCGCTGCCCTCTGCGCGCGACGCCCACCCCCACAGATCCAGCTATGGGGAGAGAGTTGGAACCAAAAGCCCACCTGGGGGAGGGGAGAAGGTGAAAAAAATAAAGGACTGTTCTGAAGTCACCAGAGAATCTAGCTACTTGCTGCATCCCTTGGGATCGACTCCCCCCCCCTCAATTTCACGGGGGACAGGTCTTTGGAGCGCCCCCTCCCACATCAGCCCACACATCTGAGCATCTCAGGGCGTCAGACACACCTGGGCCAAGTGATCTGTGATGTGTTGCCAGGTGGGGGCCCCCACTAGGGAAGGCTCGAGGGTGCGGCTGGTTTTCCGGCGGTGCTTAGCACCCTCCCGCCCTTGTGAAAACAGGGGTCCTTTAAATGCAGCTCAAGTGGCCTCCCACACCCGCCACTTGAAAATCTGGCCTCCGCAGAGACGGATTGCCCCTTGGAACCGGCCTGAACCCCCCTCCGCTCCCCCCCCAGTAGGAAAGGCACAAACTAAACGGGCTTCCCACAGGCCTGGGTCGCAGCTGACATGTGGATGGATCCCAGCTGGCTGCTAGCGGTCAAGGGCGTCCCGCTCCCAGACACGGGGACAGGAAGAGACAGCCGGGGACGCCTGACAGGTGACCCGAGCCGCTCAGCCTGGACTGGGGGGGCAGCGCACAGAGCAGGGCTTCGAAACTCGCATGAGCCAGCCCCCCCCGGGATTTCGGAGACACCCCCACCCCCAGCCAGCCCTGTCGGCCGGGATCCCAGCGCCTGCTCCTCCCTGGGCTTGTCAGGGGGAAGGCCGCAGAGCTGGAGCATGTGGGAGGATGGGGGATTTCGTAACGCGAGGCGTGTTGCTTCTGTGCCCCTGGGAGCGACCGATCAGCTCCCCAGCCCCCTCGGCGGCGAGGAAGGGCTGGAATCAAGACAGGCAGCGACCTGCCCACTGCGATGACCCCAGAGAGCTGGGGCTAGAACCCGGGAGTCCCAACTCCTAGTCCCCGTCCATGCTCTAACTGCTAGGTCCTGCTGCCTCCCTTCCACAGCCATTAGATCCTAGCGATCTAGGAGCCAAGTGGCTCCGGGCACCGCTGGGGACCCCCCCCCACCTACAATTTATTTATTGGTTGCACCTAGCAACTGCGATTGGGGAAACTGAGGCAACCTAAGTCACACATCAAGGCAGAGCTGGGACCAGAATCCAGGTCCCGGAGAGCCCGATCCACTGGGCCATACTGTCTAGCCAGATCACCCAGGGGGGGTTATTCAGCACTGTCCCCCCCTGTACTCCCAGCCTTCATGCCATTCTACAGCTGCAAACTGGCCACACCTACCCTTTCTGCTGGCGGTACCCTTGCATGTCGAGCACGGCCTTCCGGGGGAACGCTCGCAACAGCTTCAGCACCTGCTGCTTCCAGGACAACAGCCTCTTCTTCTGCGTCTCCGTGAATGCCTGCGGTGCACAGGGACAGCGCCGTCAGGACGCTGGGCTGGCGCTGGGGCATAGGGAGGGGGCGGGAGCAGCCGCAGGGAGGAGGGGCACAGAACGGGGCACTTTGCTACAGAGAGCGGAGGGATTCGAGCACACATCCAGCCCAAAGCAGGTGTGTGTGTGTGTGTGTGTAGGGCGGGGGAAGTCCTTAAATGACCCGCTTGGATCAGTTCAACAGCTCTGGGGCCTGGCCTGCTGGGCACGGCGGAGAAGAACCCAGGAGTCCCGAGGGGAGCCAGCAACCCCCGCCCCCGAGATCAGAGGGAGGTTTCCATGCAGACGATACCTCGTGAGTCAGGCACTTCTCGATGAGCTGGAGGTAACTGGTGATGTTCTCCTCGTCGGGCCGGGAGACGAGCAGCTGCGTGCACACTGCGAGGGGAGCAGAGGGGTTACTCCCCAGGCCCTTCCAGAGCCTCCCCCTTCGCCCCCCGCCCGATGCTCAACCTGGGGGGAGGGATAGCTCAGTGGTTTGAGCATTGGCCTGCTAAACGCAGGGTTGTGAGTTCAATCCTTGAGGGGGCCCACTTAGGGATCTGGGGCAAAATCAGTACTTGGTCCTGCTAGTGAAGGCAGGGGGCTGGACTCGATGACCTTTCAAGGTCCCTTCCAGTTCTAGGAGATAGGAGATCTCCATTCATTAAATTTAAAAAAATAAATAATTAAATTATAAAAATCATGCCCCCCGGAGGTGGGTCAGCAGAAAGGGGATGCTGCAGCTCACAGGAAAAGGGACTCACCCAAGGACAAGCGGTAAGCAAGCAGCAGGGCTGGAAAGAACCCAGGAATCCTGCCGAGTCCCACCGCTGCTCTAACCCCTAGACCCCACCTCCCTCCCCCAGCCAGGAATAGAAGCCAGGATTCCTGACCACCCAGAGCCAGGAAGAGAACCCAGGTGTCCTATGCCTAACACACACAGCCAACCTTCCTCCCGCACTTCGTTTTGTTTACCTGCTAGAGAACCCAGGTGTCCTGAGCCCAGCTCCAGCCCCCTCCCCCGACAGAGGGGATAAGCCATCCAGCTTCCCTGCCCCGCCAAGGGGGAGTCAGTAGGACCCATCCGCCTGAAACAGGGCTGGAGACGTCAGTCAGCCCCAACCACACATGCCAACACGAGGGCATGCCCCCGAATCTGTACCACCCCCATCCGGGAGAGAAGCAGTAACGCTCCCTCTAACGCCCCGGGACCCCCACCCCGGGCTCCCTGAATGCCCCTGGGGGAAAGGCAGTGCCCTCTGGACCGGACGCCGGGCACGGGGACGCCCTTACCTTTCCCCATCACCCGGGTGAACTGCCCCGGGATGTCCCCTTCCGCGATGGGTGCCGTGGCCGACTCCCCGTCACAGGGGGAGGCCGTCTGGGACGAGAAGCCGTCCACTGCAGGCTCCTTGTCCTCTGCCCCGTTGGTGGCTTTGTCCAGGCCCGGCCTGGGGGCTCCGTGGCGCTCGGGCACCGCCTGCTGCCCCTCCTTGGGCGCGGCCATGGCCTGGAGGGAGCTGTATGCTTTGATGGGCGTGATGATTATCTGCTGGAGCTCCTGGAGCGCGTTCCACAGGTTCCCTCCTTCTAGGATGTCCTGCGGAGGGGCCAGGGAAAGGGGGTGGGGAAGAAAGGGCAAAGGGGGTGGGGAAGATGCCATGAAAGATTAAGGGCAGCCCCACGTCTCAGAAAGGACCAAGGGGCGCAGTGGTCCAAGCATCAGGCTCAGAGCACCGGGGATCACGGGTTCGAGTCCCAGCAGCCCTGTGTGGCAGATAATTTAAGACTTGCAGCCACACGATCCTGTTTGCCCTGCACGGCACCTGCCCCTAGATCTTGGGTTTTAACGCCAGCAGCCTCGAAGCCAACTGCCCCGGCTGCGGTTCAGAGGTGCAATCTGCCACTACGTGAATTCCAGTAGCACCTAGGGGCCATGACCGAGATCAGGGCTGCGCCGCCCCCTTGGCACCAGGTGCAATGCAGGCCCTGAGCGAGAGGCACAGATCCCAAGGCGCTCACAGCCTAAGCAAGGACTGCGAGCCCCGTTTTACAGGGGGGAGATTCGAGGGGCCTAAGGAAGAGTCAGGAATCAACCCCGGGGCTGGGTGCCTTGACCCCGAGGCCTTCGGCTCAGACCTCGCAGGGGAACCCGGTGGGTCTTTTACCTTCTCCAGAGACTTGAGAACACTCTGCCTCTCCCGTAGCTTCTGGATGCTCAAGGCAATTTTGTGTCTGGCTCCTTTGGTCACGTTCTGTGCAGGAAGGAAGAGACGTGGGCGCTAAGGCGACAGCCACGGACGCAGCCCCTGACAGACTCAGAGACACGCCCCGGGAACAGGTCGCAGCCGCAGGTGCTCCCTTGCGGCCACGCAGCCCGACAGGAACTCAGGGCTCTTCCGTGGCATTCGCCCCACAGGTAGGTGAGAATTTCGGGCTCTGGGCTGGAGGTATCCAGAGAAGCCCCTGGAATTTAGCCATCGGATCAAATCAGAAGCTGTGGGGACGGTGATGGGCGTCCATGCGTTTTATGCAGTCCTGAGAGCCCCTTCCCAGCTGGCGGGGGCCGGAGTGGCCCCCTAAGTCTGTGAAAGACGCCTGTCCTACGACACCACAGTCCCCCCGCCCGGGACCCTGCTGTCCCCTCCTCACCTGGGACTCCAGATGCTGCTCCGTGAGGGTCATCATCTCTTCATACGTCATCTGGGAGAAGAGGGCTGCGTACTTGTGCAGACGAAGGCTCTTCAGCCACGAGGGGACGTCTGCAGAGGCGGGAGAGACCGGCCCTTTAGCGTGACCTCAGCCAGGCTTGGGGAAGCGTCCGCGGCTCCCGGGACCGCCGGCGTTACGCACCGGCCACTCTAGGGCTCCCCAGAGCCAGAGGAACATTCCCCTTTCAAGGCAGGGCCTTCTCAGGTGACAAGGGGCGTGAGTAAGGGAGGGTATTGGAAGGACATTCGACCAAGGCTGGCTGATACCCACAGCAGGATTCCCATCATTAGAGCCCTGAAAATCCATGGACCATTTTTGCAGACAGTGGATTGGATGCAGATACAACCGTGCAGGGCTCTACTCACTGACGGCACCTGGCCTGCGGCGTCCGGCTCGGGCAGCCCGGGGGGGGTGCAGTGTGCTTGGGGCCAGCGGCAGGTCGGCGTCGGGGCTGTCCAGCACCCGCGCGCCGTGCCGCTTCCTGTCCAGCAGCTCAGAGCCCTCGGGCAGCACCAGCGTCCCCCACCACGGCCTGGCCTGGCCGCACTGGCCACGCTCCCAGTCCTGGCCCGCCGGCTCCTGGGATTGGACCTGGTGCCCAACCCCTCCCCTCACCTGCTGCTGCCGTGTGCCGTCGCTTCTGAACCTCCGGGAGCAGCACCCGATGGGGCCCCCCCCCGACTTCCCCTCTGTGCTGCCCCTTCTTGAGACCCCACCCCGCCTCTTCCCTGCAAGACCCCTCCCCCTCCCTCACTAGCCCTTGTGAGACGGCTTGCCGCTGCAGGGCTGGATACGGGTAAAAGACGGCTAGCGGATCGCGGGTTGATCCTGGCCGCTGCAGATCGGACGCGGATCCACATGTTTGTATCCGTGCAGGGCTCTACCAGTCACAGACATAGGAAAGGCTCATCCCCCTCGCTCACCACTGCCCATGTTCCCTCCAGCCCCTGGCCTAGCAGCCCTGGTCAAATCGCTGGGAGCCCCCCAGTTAGGGCTGCACAGGCAGGGGTCTGATCCAGCATTCCCGGGGTTGGCCGGCAGAGCGAGGCAGTTGGGGTTCCCTCCCTGGCACGGGCCGACGGCGCCTCCCCCCAGCCGTACCTTTCATGCCACTGCCATCCTCCTGGAAGGTGTTACGGCTGCCCATCTGCTCCTCCGTCTGTTCGCTGCCCGAGGAGGCCACGCTGCTCTGGGGGGACAGGGGCGCGTGGTCCCCCGGGATGAACGCCTGCCGGGCGCAAAGCTCGTCGGGGCTCATCCACTCGCCGGGGGCCTGCGGGCTGGTGGGGATGAGGGACATGGAGCGCTTGAGCGGGCTGGGGTGGATTTGGCAGGGCAGAGCTGGAAGGGAAGGGCAGAGAATTAGCATGACGACATCGGGGCTGGATCTCCCATCCTACAGAGCGACCAGGGAGGATGAGCCTCGCGCCTCTGAGACGGGGGGAGGACGGAGAGAGGAGAGATCAGTCACCTACAACTCAAGGCAGCGGATGCCTCAGGGCCTGGCGCTTGGAAAGTGGTTTTTAGCTGGGCTCCTCCTCTCCCCATTCAGGATACGGCCCCAGAATGGGCCCTGCCCCCCCAGCGAGGCTCCCCCAGACCCACATGGGCAGAATTCTCTGCACGGCTATGGTGCATTTCATCCAAGGGCCTTGATGCAACTGACCAGCAGGAGTCGGGACCCCTCTCCGGGAAGCCCCCTGCTCCAGGGCACGCAGAGGATTGACAGCACAAGTGAGAACCAAACCCACGATCGGGGGAACTAGCCACGTGACCACGCTCCTTTTGCCAGTCACCCGTGCAGAGGGACGAACAGCAGCAAAGGGCGTAGGAGGGTCAGTCTGCGCAGGGGGGGGTTCTGTCTGCTTCCCCAGCACCGTGAAGCAGCCGGGGAGCAATTCAACCCCCGTCTTGTCTCCCTGCTCTATTTGGCAGCAGTGAAAAGAGGCAGGTACCCTCCACCCCCTGCCACCGCTCTCTCCCCCTCCCTCGCCACGGATCTCCCACTATCCTGAGTGCCCCTGTGGGGACAGCCAAGGAGCTAGCCAACGCCAAGCAGGGGGATGGCACATGAGCAAGGCAGAGCCCGGTTCGGCCAAGGGACCCAGGCTGTACGTTACAGCTACGGCCAGGTCTAAGCGCCGCTCTGGGATACAGCTGGTTTTTCCCCTGAACTGTACAAACCCTGGGCACACCCTCAGAGGCGGCTTTCCGTTTTGATTCATGTTATTCCTGTTTTGGTGCGAAGAGAACGCACGTTTTCTCCCCTCCCACTCCCCCGACAGCCACCGGAGCGCTGGGGGCTGCAGGGAGGGAAATCCACCCGGAACCACCCCAATGGGAGAGGAGGAGATGGAAGGGAAGGAAAGTGTCTAGAAGGGACGACTACATTTGATTAGCTTTAATAATAACTCCTGTTTCTTTAATAGAAGTAGAGGCAGTTATTGGGAGGTGGTGGGGTCAGTATCGTAGCTGGGGGGGGAGAGGGGCAGCAGCCGCTCCCCCACTGAGCACAAGTGGCACCTTGTCAATTTCTTGGCACCTTTTTAATTTTTACTCACCCGGAGGGAACAGGGGGAGCGATCAAAAAAAAAAGCGCGACAGCCACTGCGGCGCTTTTACTCACCTGGCAGCGCCGGGTCTTCGGCGGCACAACCTCCTCTTGCTCGGCGGGTCTTCGTGGCATTTCGGCGGCGGGTCCTTCAGTGCCACCGAAGACACCCGGAGTGAGTGAAGGGCCCGCCGCCGAAGACCCGGAGCGCTGCCAGGTGAGTAAAAGCGCCACAGCGGGTGCCAACTTTTTTTTTTTTGATCGCGCCCCCTGTTCCCTCCACCTGGCTACGCCACTGGGTGGGGTTCAGTAGGTCACCTCCAAAATTGACACCCCCAGCCGCCCATCCTGACACTCCTCTGACCATCTTCAAGCTTCATTTACCTCACCAGTCACTGGCATCCGTACGTACACGTAAGCACACCCCCGGCCGCCACGGCACGTTGGACTCCAAGCACTTCGCAGGCCCAAAGCACCGTGCAAACTAATGCCCCTTGGGATGGAGGGGCAACCAATATTATCAGCCCCATTTTATAGATGGGGAAACTGAGGCACTGAGACACGGGGCACTGACCTGTCCCCCAATGTCAGAGCTTAGGTTTGATCTGTCATCGTCCCCACCTCCTTTTGCCCTCAAACACCACAGACCACCCACCTGGACACACTGCCGCCCCTCCAACCCTCCCCGCTGCTTGGGCCTCAAAATATTTTCTTCTGGGGCCCATCAAGAAGCAGGCGCGGAGTCCGAGAGGAAGCACGGCTCAGCTGATAGGGACTCTGAACTCCTGGGTTCTGTTCCCCTCTCTCCTGCTGACTAGCCACAGGCAAGTGGCTTCACCTGCTCTGTGCCTCAGTTTCCCCAATGGGTAAAACAAGGTTGGGACACCGCACCTCTGTCAAGTATTTTGAGCTCTACAGAAGGCAGCCATGAGAATAAGGCATGTTTTCTAATCAGAGTGAGACTCAAGGTACTCAATCTACGCAGCTTAAGGAAAAGGTTAAGAGGTGACTTGATCCCAGACGGCGTACCTACGCGGGGAACAAACATTCGATCATGGGCTCTTCCAGCTCGCAGAGGAAGGTCGAACACGATCCAATGGCTGGATGCTGAAGCTAGACCAACTCGGACTGGCAATAAGATTATATTGGCCTCTAAGCGCCTACCTACTGCCCACGCCCCATCCTGGCCCCACCCCGCCCCGTACCTGCATTTGCATTGCTTCCGATGCTGTTGATGGCCGAGGGCACCGAGCTAGAGGAGTGGAAAGGCAAGTGTCCGTTTTCGCGGGGCAGCTTCTCCTGCCAGCCGTGTCCCAGCTCCCCCATGCCCGAGTCCCCTGGGCCCTGCCACTCGTCCGAGCCCTGGCGCGAGTGGTAGGCAGTGTCGGGCCGGCCCCTGCCCTGGCCGGAGTAGCCGCTAGACAGGCGTTCCTCGAGGTGGTTGAGCCACAGGGCCAGGGAGTTGCGATCGTCCAGCGTGGTGGCCGGGTGGATGAGGGCGTAGGACAGCAGCTGCCGGCTTTCCTCGATGAACAGGTTGCTCTCGATGGAGTAGGCCAGGACCTTCTGCAATAGCTTCATGTATTCGGACTTGGCTTCTGTGTTGCCAGGCTGCAGCAGGGGCAGGTGAGACAGGAGCAGGGAGACCACCTTGTCCTTCGATTCCTGGTGCCATTGGCTGATGACAGCTGTTTGGGGGAGAGAGGGCAGAGAGGGGTGAAGAACCGGAACAAACAGGAGCCCCTGCTCCTTCCTCCAGTCGCTTTCGCCACAGAGAAATCAATGCAGCCACTTCTGGGGAGGAACAAGACAGCTAGTGAAGAGGTGTGTAGGAACACTAGCAACAGCTTCAGGCAGGGAGACTTGTATCCTACCGAAAGCCACAGCGTGGGGTGACCAAGGGGGCTTACCAGAACCAGACACCTGGAATGGACACCCCAACCCTAGACACGGTGATCTCAAGCAATCCAGGCAATCAGTCTGTGTGTCCCCCAAAATGTCACCACTTCCAGCAACAAAGAGAGCTCCAAGCACTTGGCAAATGTGGTCTCAGTTCTCCCATTTTACAGCTGGGGAAACCGAGGCACGGGGAAGGCAGCGACTTAACCAAGGTCAGCGGCAGAACTGGGCTCATCAGACCTGCGATTAAACTCCAGTGCTCTATCCACTAGGCCACGCCACCTCTCCCTGCTGAATTCTCCAGCTCACTCTGCCCAAAACTAACGGGACGGCTCTGATTTGAACTCCCTTCCCCCAGACAGCGCGCGAAACTTAAAGAACAGGAATCGATCTGGGCGGGGAGGGTAAGAGAGGCCTTTGAAGGGAGAGGGTGCTCCACGCTGAAGCGGACGTATTTGTTATGGGTGTATGGAGGGGAAGTTGAGGGACAGGGAGCCTGGCAGAGAGCTTTCTCAACCGTTTAGGGATTAGGTAAATAACCGTACAGTTATTGGGAAATCACCACGTGCACAGCCAGCAGACAGAGCATAAGGGCTTGTGAACCGGAGCGAGTCCTAAGTCCTTATCTGGCCTCTTGTATCCAAGCGCCTCAAAATCTTTAGTGGGGCAGAGAAGGGCTACTGTCAACATTGCACAGATGGGGAAACTGAGGCAGCCAGCGGCAAAGTGACTTGCCCGGGGAGTTTGTGGCAGAGCTGGGAATTGAACCTAGGTCTCCAAGTCTTAGGTTAGTGCCTAACCATTGGATTTATCCTTCCTCTCCTTTGCCAGCTATCCCAACCTCAGTGTGCAGTGGAATAAAATCCTAAACAGATGATATCGGTTCAGGGAGGATCAGCGCCATAGTTTGACCCATAGGCACCGACTCCATGGGTGCTCCGGGGCTGAAAAAGAATTGTGGGTGCTAAGCACCCACTGGCAGCCCCACTAATCAGCTCCTCCCCCCCAAGGTCTCCCACCAGCTGTGATCAGCTGTTCAGTGGCATGCAGGATGCAGTGGGGGGGAGGGGGCAGGAGTGGGGGCTTGGGGGAAGGGGTGGAGTAGGGGCAGGGCCTGGGGTGGAGCAGGGGTCAAGCACCCCCCCAGGAACTTGGCGCCTCTGGTTTGAACCACAGGCCTGAGCAAACAAAGTCCCAAGAACCGTTATTAATTTCACCAGATGAAGTTAACAGGCAGCAGGTTTAAAAACAAACAAAAGGAAGCCGGTCTTCACCGAGCGCACAGTCAACCTGTGGAACTCCTTGCCAGGGGATGTTGTGAAGGCGAAAAGAATAACCGGGTTCAAAAAAGAACTAGATAAGTTCCTGGAGGATCAGTCCATCAATGGCTATTAGACAAGATGCTCAGGGACACAACCCCATGCTCCGGGTGTCCCTAAACTGCCAGAAACAGGGTGGACGACAGGGGATGAATCACTCGAAACTGCCCTGTTCTGTTCATTCCCTCTGAAGTATCTGGTGTTGGCCACTGTCGGAAGACAGGATACTGGGCCGTTCTTATGTCAAATGTTGATCTCATGCAAGAAAAATTGTAAGGGAGGGGGCTGAATCTCAGGCACCCCACACTCAAACCACCTCAGGTTTGACTCGGTCACGCTATGCCGGACCCCCATGAGGCACAGAAAGTTTCAAGACCATCCGAGTCAGCCTGCGGATTTTGGAGCTCTGAAAGTCAGCTGGTCAACGGTCAGCTAGACCCAAGCTTAACTCAAGCAGGTGCTACCGGCTCTTTGGAACAGCCATGGGTTCAAACTCTCAACAGAGATGACCAAGCCCCCCCCCCAGCCTTCAGAGATAGTGCCCTAGCGTTCCAGGAAGATGGGTGTGAGGGTCTCGGGTCAGAGGAGATCCAAGGTCCTATCCACTCTGCCTGGACATGAATATCTCCTTGGGAACTTTCTGAGGGAGCAGGGGGTTTGCCCTGGTCTCCTGAGGCAAAATTTCCTCTCCCACCTCCACTGTTGGTCCGCGTTGCTCTCCACCCCAGAAGCAGCTGCATTGGTGGTGCTGTCAGCGCAGTCTGTGCAGCTCAAACAGAGGGGCACATGCAGCTCCCTCAACACTACCTCTGGACTAATCCCAGCTCTGCTACTAACCGACCGCGTATGGACTGAGGGGTGGCAGGGTCACTTTACTGCCCTGCCTCGATTTCCCCAACGCCATGGGGAATGCATTTGGATGCTTGAGGTTCTGGCCAACTCTTCCCTGGCAGCGCAAGCTGCAGAACTGGGATCTCTTGTTCTTTAATAGCGACTTCAACGCCCCCCCTTGCGCTGAAGAACATTCACCGCCGGAGAAAGGGGACGGGAGGCTTCGGGAGAAACTTTCCCTACAAAGTCAGAGCAGACAGCTTCCAGCACACGCTGCCACCACCACGGGCAGACACCCAAATGTTACAGTTACAGGCCTGGAGCTACCCACCAACTGCGCAGGGTGGCCCACAGCCCCGGAAGGGCAGGGTCTGCTCACCGTGTGCCTGTCGGATGGAAGATACCATCTGCCAAGGAAGCTGCATGGAGCGGCACATGCAGGCCCGGCAATCTTAATTCTTTAAATCTTAGCTTCTATCCGCTGTTTCCTCTTGGCCTCCTAGGGAAAGATCCTTCCCACACCTGTGGAAGGACAGACCTGCTACACAGAAGGGTGCCCCCACACCTGCACAGGGACCCCTTCCACATCTTGTGCTGCTACTCCGCTCTCGAGAGTCCCCTGCAAGGGAGACAGTGTGGGCATGACACACGCCTGGAGGGGCAGGACTCCTGGGTTCTATTCCTAGCTCTTCCACTGACTTGCTGAGAGCGCTAGGGTAAGTCATTGCCTCGCCCCGCGCCTCAGTTTCCCCATCTGTAAAACAGGGATAGCCATACGTTTGCAGGGTGCTTAAAGATCTCGGGATGAAAAGCACTGGCTCGGCCTAAGTCCCGAGTCCCCGGAGGGTGGGTGGTCCAATTAATGGAACTGGAATCTATCGCCTTCGTGGTTTATTTAGGGGGATCCACACATCGCCAGAGCGACTGTAGAAACAAGCACGCATCTGCCACTCCAATCTGGGCTATGACCCATCCCTGCCTGCCCCTAGCAGAGCAAGCAAGGGAGCAGGAGACACACTTGGAAAGGACAGAGCGGTTACCTCTGGGGCATCTCCCATCACACACACACACACACACACAGAGCTATTTTTAACCTGGAAATTAAGGCTTAGGGAAAGGCCAGGCCACAGAGGCTGAGGCCAACGATTCAGCGAGTGTCTCCTGCAAGCTGCCGGCAGGCCCTGCGCAAACTTGACAAGATTTGCTTTGCTACTTCATCGAGGGACCAAGGATCATCCTCACCCACAGAGGACAGCTGGGGGCTAAAAGGGTGCCATGCGGCACAGGGTTTGCCACGTTTCCAATCTCAAATCGCCTCACGGGGGAATTCTGGAACAAGGCTGTTAAAATTCACATGCGAGCTGAAGCGTGGCACAAGCGAGAGGGGGAATTTTAGCTGAATCAAGAGCTCTTGCTTTAAAAATGCCGAATAGGAGGAATTTTTTTTTAAAATCTAGTCTGTTCTGAGGCCTGACCCATTCTGAATTGGACACTTCTTCCCAGCTTAAAAAGCGTGTTGCTTTTGCAGTTCACTCATTACTTGTTTTTAAGTCAAACGGTCCTTTCACTTCAGATCATTCCCTTTCAGGAACAAAACAAGAGGCCCCTTAGACGGTCAAGTTTTACTTTGCTTTGAAAACTGGCTACCAAAGAGGGGAAATGGCTAATTACTTTTGGCTGAGAAGTTTTCCCATGATGCATCCATGGCCGGCATTACGTATTTTGCTTCAGCTAGATAGAAACAATGTTGAACTGTCTAAAGAGTTTTGCTAGTGCTGATTTCGGGGGCGGAATTGAGTTAAAGAACAGCTTAACGACGTAGAGAGAAATGATAGGAAGTCAAAGAAATTTGATGTGCCTAGCCTCTGTTTGCCAGCAGCTGGGAATGGGCGACAGGGGATCGATCACTTGATTCCCTGTTCTGTTTGTTCCCTCTGAAGCACCTGCCATTGGCCACTGTCGGAAGACAAGATACTGGGCTAGATGGACCTTTGGTCTGACCCAGTCTGGTCGTTCTTATGACCCTGTTTCTTGATTCGTTTGGATCAAGAATGTGGAGATAGCTCAAATAATACCAGACGGCCATTCATCTGACCTCTCTGCTTTTTCCGCCTCCCTCTTCAACACCCTCCCCCCACACACTTCCCTTTGTTGCCTATTTGTGTGTCTTTTTATTGTCACTCTCACCCTAGCATGTTATGTCTGCGTAATATTGTCTGGTTTTGCATTGTCTGGTCTTGCAGCTCTGACAAGTTGTAAAGTCACCTATTGGCATCATCGTATTGGCTAGCCTGTGACAGGGGCAGGATCTGGTAACACATACAAGCCGCAAGTCCTTTACCTTTTTGTAGTTGTTTGATTGTTTCTTTAGGAAAATTCATACAAAATAAATCACACACACAGAAAAGCCTTTAACCAAGTTAGCCACAAAATTAAGACTGAAAAAACGTTGGGTCTTGCTGATACTTTATATTAGGCATGGCCAAACCGAGGCCTACAACTCATGGAGCCCCCCATTCTCCATCTACTAGACTAGGGAGGGAGCTTGGGGCTTCTGCCCTGCAGGGAAGGGGAGCTCAGGGCTTTAGCCCCAACAGGTGCCACCCGGCGGGACAGGCTGTGCCCGTCTTCTGCCTCTCAACCTTCTGAAGATTACGGCATGTGGCTCACAGGGTCAGAAGGTTGGCCACCCCTGCTTCATATCTATACCTCAGGATATTTAAAGGGCAGATTCCACCCCATTGCTACCAGTCTGGGTGGCAAAAACACAAGACCCCACCCTAGGAGGAGTTATCCGGGTATAGCGTACCTTGCTTTGGCAAAGCAGAAGAAGTTGTACTGGAAGAAAAGCCCCTTACGCTGGTGTAACCGCACCTGCACTATGACTGTCACCACCCTCACCCACAGATCTGAAGTGCAGACAAGCCCTTAGGGCACTTAGTTGCAATACTAAGTCGCTTTGCTAGGACCAGCTACACAAGCTTGGGCTCATTCAGGTGTCTTGGAGCTTGTCTGCACACACTTTAAATATACCAGTATAATGACAGTGGTACACACACAGAGACACCCCTCCCTCCCCACAGATGGATGCAGTTATCCGTGTTTTTCTACCACTGTGGCCAGAGGTGTGTTAGGGGTGCTTTG